AGTCTCATGTTTAGACACGTCTAGGCGTTAGATATATAACACCAATTTTTTGTTTTGGGGGGGGGGGGATTCTGCTACGATTTAAGTAATATAAACACGCCGATAGAGTAAGGTGATACTTCAGACATAATTAGATGGAATTAAGAAGTCAATATTAAATGATGAAATTAACATTATCCGTTAAGTCAATTCTATACATGTTTTTTCAATAGTTCAAGAATGGTATAAATTATTAGACTATGATTCTATAAATAGGTTAGACGCTAGACAACGTTCCAACGGTCTTCTCAACCTTGATACTACCAGAAGAGAACCCATAAAAAATCACACCTAGCTAGCTCTCTGCATGTCTTTATCTATTGTTTGTCACGGTTTTCTTTTCGCTGCGTTCATCCAATGAACTGTAATTAACCTGAACCCAATCTAATCGGAACTAAATGAACTTATTTTATCAATTAAAATATAAAAAAATGAAACTTTAGTAGCGATGAATGGATTACGAGTCACCAATCTGGGTAGTGACTTTCACAATAACTATCATTTGTCCTCACATAATAGTGGGCGTGAACCAAAAGGGTGCTTGCTAGGGTTTTCGGAAAAAGTTGATTTGATTTTTTATTTAAACTATTGGTTGATGAGATAGTCAATAATTAGTGGCACCCGTCAAAAAAAAAAAAAAAATTAGTGGCCATAATTAGTTCATTGATAAAATGAGTGAATATTCAGAAATGGCTGATATGAATTATGCTTAAAAAATAATATCATTAATAAAAACAGAATGCTGGAAATGAAAATTTTCAATTGAGGTGGCTTTTAAAAATCTACACAATAAATAAAAGCCAAATGAGAAAACTTGAAGTTTCATTTCAAATTTTATGCATCCAGAGAGAGATAGTAGGAAAGACATTTTGGTCTTCACAATTATTACTTTTTTTTATTCATTAAAAAGACACGTATTAGGATTTGAACCATGACCACTTTAAATAAAAGCAAAGATCATAAACAATCACACTAAACACATTTGTTGTATCTTTTTAAATTAAAAACATATAATAACATAGAGGAAAAAACCCTTTCCCCATTTCAAATTCCCTTCTCCAGGAGCGTTTGTAGGAAGGGTAGAGCGTTTGTAGGAATGGTAGAATAGGGAGTGTTAATTTTTTTCTTTTTCCTCCGTGGAAAGGGCCAACTTACCGTACACATGCGGATTTAAACAGGTCCAGGAGTGTCAATTTTTTTCTTCTTTAAGCCCTTTTATTTCTCCGTGGTTGTAAAATATATATAAAAAGGCAAAAACAATACTCCTTTTTATTGCTAAAACAAAAAAAATTAACAATAACCTAATGCATGGATTCTAATGGGCTAACCGCTAACCATAAAATAAAAAAGTTGAATGGTCTGACCTACACGGGATTTGCCTATCAAGTAAAACAAATGAACATCATGGGTTTGTCATTCTAAAACAAGCTATTTTCTCTAGCATAATATATATTATGCTATTATTTTATATCCTAGTGGCTAAAATATAATTTATTTTAAAGTTATTCAATGGTTCAACCTCGTCCAACCCAATTAGTCCAATTTTTATCATTTCAAATATATATTATGTAATTATTTGATATCATAATGATTAAATTATAGTGTATTTTATAGGGAATCGTTTGATATTTGTTAGTAAATAACTAAATAGAAAGATGTATTTGGTTATTTTTAAACATTGAACGATCCTAAACATTTTCAGTTTCCTTTCGAAATTCTATAGTTTTATTCCCGATTCGAAATTCTATAGTTTTATTCCCGAATCACTGATGTGCAAATGGCGAATTGCAGTCATCTATTTTCTTTCACTATTTTTTATTTTCAAATAGAAAGTTTAAAAGTAAAGAATAATTAGAGTTTGACATGGGGTCGGTCAAACAGGGTGAATTTCAAGTTTTGACCCGTTTTGATCAAGTCTAATTTATAATTACATGGTTCCCTGATACCCGATTAAAATCTCAATCCAAACCAGTTTGGCAGGTGAGTCTGTGTTTACCACCATTATCTAGAGATACAGGAACGACGGTTCATATCCCAAATCGTGTTATTCATTCTTGATTTCTTTAGATTTTATCATGGCTTGGTAAAAACCAGAAAGCACAACGACGACAAGATGAAAGTTTTATAAAGCAATTTAATCAGCCAACGGGCCGAGTAAAAGCTAGCAACAATTGTGAGATGCTCATTTCCCAAAAACCGGCGGGATAGTCGATTTTTATTCGATTTTCTGGAATTCGATTTCTATAAAACTTACTACTCCACCTCATCATATTACCAGAAACAATATTGTTTCACAAGATAACATGTACTTGATTTTGCTTCATAAGGCTGATTTTTGATTCATTGCATCATTCATGTCTCTTTCCTACTAAGATTCACTATTTTTATCACGTGTTTCCCAAAAAAAAACTATACAATAATAAGCTATACACCCCATTACATTATTAAATTTCATACCTCACCTTTCTCCGGCCAACTGGCCGGGACCAAGCTAGTTTCTAATAATTTGTCGATTTAGATGAAAGATTGTTTCGGTAAAGGTAATGTGTTATGCATGGTTGTCATGCCATTGGTATGTTAGTCAGTTAAACTAGATTCAACGGGTAATGGTCATGAAATCTGCTGGAATATCACAGACACAATGTTGCGCTAGCTCAAAATCGGCCAATTCAGGGGTTGAACCAGATTTTGCAGGGAAGACCCTTTTGTGAGACTTGGATTCTTACCTCTAATCAAAATTTTAATTTAAGTGGTTGGTAATATTTTAATAATCCTAACCATAAAAAAGAAATTAATAACGGTCAACAAAAATATTTGAGGAAATAATTATTGACATTGCGCCTCAAAACTTTAGTACACATGACACATGGAGAATATAAGGTTACAAGTGACAAAAACCTTAAAATATGAGCTCTTTCGTGATATCAAGCCTTTTAAATTAGATAACTCCGATGATGCATCAACTCAACCATCTGTAGTAGTAGTAATGTTGGTTATTCTCACACAATTGGCTCAAAAAAAGATCATGCTTGGGAATATGTCGAAGATATCATAACCAATGATGGGAAGTTATGGAATGAGTGCAACTTGTGTGCTTGTGTGATAAATGGAAGAGGAATTACTAGAGTGAAGCAACATTTACGGGTCGTTTGCTTCATGGATTTGAAAAATGAAGGTTTTGGTAAAACTTGGGTTTTGGAAAACCATGGATATATGATGGATTTGGTGGCATTATGGATTTGAACAAGTCTATTGTTTGCTTGATGGATTTGATTATGGACTTTGTTTGTTTAGATTTGTGGATATTAAATACAAATTACCTAGTTACCCTTATTTAATTATATTTCTATATTATAATCCAAATCTTTCATTTAAAACTAATCCAAAACATAGAAAGAAATTATAAATTCTTTACCACTATGTGGATTAATAATTCAACTACAAATATAGAAATGTATTACAATTTGGCACTAATTAATAATTCATCTTGGCACTAATTAAAAATTCATCTAATAATCCTTCATAAAAAAACAATTCATCTAATAATGCACGCAATATTATGTATCAATTGCAGCCAATCGCTCGCTTTATTGCTACAACTCATCATCATCTTGCTAACTCACCGATGTGGAATCCGACAAAATGATAAATTCTCAATTTTATAAAATACGAAATTATAAAAGTTTACAGTTGCATGACCATTGAATTAAAGTAGGACAAATTTGTAATTAAAGAAATAATTAAGGGTAGAAAGGTAATTTACCATCATGGATTTTAATCCATCACCCAAATCCCACCTCAAGAGGTGGAACTTTCAAGTCCGTGGGGTCCACGGATTTGGAACCCCAAAAGTGGTGGGCCCCACAAATTCCATCTCCCTAATTCCCTATGGCAAACGATGGATTTCGGTTCAAGTCCATGATGGATATATTTTCATGACCAAATCCATCACCAAAACCCTCAAGCAAACGACCCCTTAGCTAGCTAGAGAAAGACCAAGTTGGCCCTTATTCTCAAATTTCTCTCATGTTAGACTATTTCTCCTATCATTTTCCTACTTTTTTCTCCGTCCCAACTTTAGTACTAAATGGTGCCTAAACAAGTAAGTAATTACATTTTTGTTTATGGCTTAGAATTATAAGCTAAACAAGGTATATTTTCTATTTTCATGTTGTTGTGGTTGTATACTTGTACATATGTTACAACTTATAACAATTCTTTACGACAACCACAACAACAATAAAACTATAGTAAACGAGGCCTAGGTAGCTATTTTTGTTGTTTCAGAAAATGATTAATTGCGAGAGTCTATTAGTTGTTGGAATAACTTTATTTAATAGATTCTATGATCAAATTTCACTAGACCCACTTTCAATGTACATATTTTTCCTTCTCCATTTTGCATAACTCATATCCGAAACCATATTTTCAATTTTGTTTCCATTTCATTTTCTCCCTCAAATTTTTAATAACTCGTCATGCCACACTATTCCATCTATTATCTTCCTACTTATGTCCTTAAGATTAATACTAAACGAGGAATAAGAAGTTACTATATGCGTATTATGTTTCTGGTTGTCAATTTTTATGATTTGTGAGAATAAGATTAGAAGAGTTACCTATCAATTCTCGGTAATTCGAACATGATAATTTGGATTTCTTATCCCACCGTCTGTCAGGAATAAATGCTCACCATTCACCCATGTGATTAATTTTGATTCTTAACAAAAAAAAAATGTATTGTTTTGTTTCACAAAATCTCATTCATGTCGTTCAACTTTTTTGTGTGTGAAATAAAAAAGAGTGAAAGAGAGAAGGAGTGAATGAATGAGAGAAGGTGGGATGGGAAAGAAAGAGAAATTTATGAGACAATGGCAGCACTAACAGCAGCAGCAGCAAGGGCACTGTTGAGGAACAGGAAAGAGAGGGAAGGCAGCAGCTAACATGAAAGAAAAGAGAGAACCAAACTAAAAGAGAAGAAAGAAAGAAAGAAAGAAAGAAAGAACCCCCCCAATATAATGGACATCTGGTCTTCCTCTTCTTCTTTCCTGATCTGAGTCCTCAGAGCTCTCTGCAGTAGGGTTCTTCCTCCCCTTCTTCCTTATTTCCCTCACTTATTTTCCAAGAAGAACTGAACAAATAGTGAAAAAAAATAAAGTAGGAAGAAGAAATTCTATGGAAAAGGAATAGTGCCCATCCAGCAGCCTTCTCCACAAACTGGCTGACTGATTCCTCTCTCTGTAGCTCTCTCTCTGCGCCCAAAAAAAGACAGCAACTTTGAAGCTGAAATAGCGGGGGGAGAAGAGAAGAGAAGAAAATAATAAAATGGATCAGCAGTGTGGCCGTACAGTTTGTAGCAGCAGCAGAAGTAACAACAACATTATTATGAATGTTGGTGGTGGTGTTGTGATTCCGCAGTCCTCTCCTTCTCCATCCCCATCTCCTTCACCTTCTCCTTCACCTCCTTCTTCTTCCCCTTGTTCAATGGAGATGGCGAATCATTCCTCCCTCCCTCCTTCTCACCACCACCACCATAACAACAATAATGTGCTCTTTGTTCATGGCAACGCAACCACTCAACCTCAACAACCACACCATAACATGGCTGCTGCTAGGGTTTTTGGGAACAACAACAACAACAACAGCAACAGCGACCCTTCTCCGTATTATTTCATGGACGGCGGCGGCATAAACAACAGCATGATTAGCACCTCCATTTCTGTCGCTGTTCCTGCTCCAGATCCCATGATCATCACTCCTCCTAGCAGTCATAATAATACGAGTAGTGGTATGAGGGCCAAGATCATGTCTCATCCCCACTTCCCTCGCCTCTTGTCCGCATACTCCAATTGCCAAAAGGTTGCTTAATCCATCCATTTCTAAGTTTCCGTTGCCCATTTCTCAAGATCCAAATCTAGTGCTACAAACTGTTGATATGGTTAAACCGTTCATGGGTTTCATTTCTCCTCTCGTTTTTTTGGATGATTAATTAATTTTTGTTTGTTTACTAGCCGTGTTAGCCGTACGTGGGTTGGTTCTCGTAATTTTTTTTAACTCTAATATATGTATTATGGAAGGGAAATAATTAAATTTATTATATTATGGTTATGAAGGTTGGGGCGCCGCCGGAAGTGGCGGCGAAGCTGGAGGAAGTATGCGGGGCGGGAGCGGCGGCGGTGATGGCGGCGAGAGCAGGGTCATCGGGAGGAGAAGGAAGCATCATCAGCAACGGTAGTATAGGGGAAGATCCAGCACTGGATCAGTTCATGGAAGCCTACTGTGAGATGTTGACCAAATACGAACAAGAGCTCTCCAAGCCTTTCAAAGAAGCCATGCTTTTCCTCTCCAGGATCGACTCCCAGTTCCGTGCCCTAACCCTCTCCACTTCCTCCCCCACTGGTAATTTTTTTTTTCTTTTTTTCCTATAATGTCTTTCTATCGCGCTAACTTTTTCGGTACAACCAACTCCGAGTTTCCCCTACTTCTTTGTTTAATTAATTATCATCTTGTCCTGTTAGGGTAAAAGGACTGTTGTTTGCTTGAGTGACGAAATGCCTATAACCTAATAAGCTAAAGGGAGATGGGAGAGGGAACTCTATGCTCTACTATGAGGCCAATCATGCACGAGAAATAACCGTAGCTTTCCATGAATGAATCAGACCCTAATATAATAATAGGTATTTAATTAAGAAAGAAAAAAAGTTAAGCGTAGATCGATGATAGATAGATAGATAGATGGTCTATGGATTGTAGGGTTTCTTAGGTTATAGGTTGCTTGAGATTCTCTTTGCTTTGTCTGTCTTGTGTTGTGTGCTCTACAGCTACAGAAGGAGAACAACTGGTGATGTATGTAACGTTTGATTTGATCAGTTTCACTGATTTTTCTTTTTGTGCCTCCTCTACCTATCCACTACTCTTCTTTTTCCTTTTCCTGACCACCCATTTCTAGGGTTCATGCTTCACCCACTTTTCTTCCTAGATGGAGCCAACTTGAGCTGTAAATCATAGGAAGGGGAAACTCAATGGTTTCTGCTTTAGCTAGAGCTAAGCTATACTTACCTACCTGCAATTTTTTTTTATATCTGAAAGATGTTGCAGTCTCTGTATCAGAGTATCTCACTGGTGTTAATCTGTATGTATATAGGAATGTTTGGTGTTCGACTGTTTGTGCTTACAAGAAATTAATTAAGTAGCTTTCCTTGGTTCCATACGGTATTTTGTCGTGGTTTTACTGTCAGTTGGTAAATTTGTTAGATGATTTCTAACCTCATAATTTGTCTTATTATTGTGCATAGGATGACAATCAAAACCATAAGCATGGGTAGCTCACAACTTTGATTCAGTTAATGCGGTGAATTCTCGCATTGACTAGATCGATTTAGGTTGGATATGTGTAAAACGTTAAAACAAATTTGACGGAGATGGAGGCGAATATAGTTGTATACTCCCCAATCCTGTACTCATACTCACTCTACCAAGAGTATTTTTTCGTATAAAAATATGTATAGGGGAATGTTGAAAGGTATAAGCAAGCATAGTTTTCTAGGAGACAAGGTAGTAGGCTTCTTTTAACTTATTTTGAAGTGTGAACCAGAAAGACGGTAAAGTTTCATCCAACAATTTGTTTTGAAGAGCGAATCATCAAAAGACTAAAAATTTGTGAAACCCCAGAAAAGCTTGGCCATGAATCTTTGATCCTTTTCCCCCAAGCAACCTCATGGCCATAGCATAGCATGCATGCACGAATCTTCCATCTCCTCAAAATTCGTGCTCTAATTATCAGAGTCAGTCATAGATGAAAACCACATAAACATCTCAAGCACACGCAACATACCACAATGGCTAGCAAGTGTCTCATTTCATTTATGTGTAGTTGGCATATACTCATTAATGTTGCTCATTGCACACTTCTATGGTGCTAGCTAGCATCTTACGTTCCCAAAGCCTTGCCCTTCTTGTTACTTGTTGGTTCACTTGATTCCTTGTGTGATGTTGCTTTACTTTTTGAGTGTTGGGTTTCCAGGTTCCGGTGACTTCACCGGGAGGAACAATAATGGGTCGTCGGAGGATGACATCGAAGGGCTCGAGACGAGCTACATTGACCCACAAGCCGAGGACAAGGAGCTGAAAGTCCAGCTGCTCCGTCGGTACAGTGGATACCTCGGCAATCTGAAGCAAGAGTTCCTCAAAAAGAAGAAGAAGGGGAAGCTGCCCAAGGAAGCCAGGCAGCAGCTCCTCGAGTGGTGGAACCGACACTACAAATGGCCCTATCCATCGGTAACACACGCAGTCAAACCCTAGCTCCAGAGCTAGTTTTCTTGTGTACCGGTTGAATCTGAATCTGTTCCGTGTGGAAGCAGGAATCACAGAAGGTGGCGCTGGCTGAGGCGACGGGGCTGGACCAGAAGCAGATCAACAACTGGTTCATAAACCAGAGGAAGAGGCACTGGAAGCCGACGGAGGACATGCAGTTTGTGGTGATGGATGCTGCTTACCCTCACCATTACTATCTGGACAATGGTGTGGGAATGGGGAGCAATGCATTTCCCTTGGATTTCAATTCATCCACTCCTCATCTTTGATTTGGTTTTGATGATATCATCGTGATCCCTTTCCATTGGTTGGCACTTTGTTTAGCTTATTCTAATACTGCTCTGCTTGTTTAGTGTCCCTGGTTATGCAGAAGGGGGGATGTTGTTGTGGCTTGTGAGTGTGTGTCTAGAAATCTTATCATATATTATAGTACCTAGGTGTATTGTATGATTATGTTTGTGAAAATTAGGGCTTGGATCCAAATATCCGACTTTTGATATCTTTATCGTATGTTATGGAATATTAGTATTGACTGTTATATATTATAATTCGAGTTTTCTTGGCTTAGTGTTTGTCGGTATGTTGTTCAGTTGTTATTTCTGTGTTGTGTTTGCTAAATTGTAACGCCGGTTTGAACACAAAAACCGGTACCGTTATTAAAGTTCTGAATTTAGATAGGTATTGGAAGAATAGGTAGGTATTAAATGTCTCGTTAATTAGTATGTTTAGGGTTTGAATGGTGCATAATATTCAGTTTCGAAACTCTTAGTCCGGGACTCCTTGTAACCTAAGCTATAACAAGAGCAACAACTAATAATTGGGTACACAAAATTTACAGAACTACTTTGCTAATGCCCACGAGCGTGATTTTGAATTTCTTTACTATGAATCCGTCTATATAGTTTAGAAGCTTCTAATTATACAGTCCTCCAAATATATCATATTTTGTGACAAGAATGGTCACCAAAATAAAAAAAATCAAATTCACTAGATAATAGGGGAAAAAATCTTAAACTCAAATTTGGCTACTAATAATTCTAAATAGTATTGAAATCAATCAAAACCACAAATCTAACACTAATGAGAGGTTTATTTATCTTTATAAATCATCCTATTTTTTCGGACGCAACAGTTGCATCATGTCTTCATCATGTTGCTTTTGCAGGTCAGCAAACCTTTGTTCCCATTTCTTGTTCTGCTCTGCTAGCCGGGCCTCAAACTGTTGGTTTAACTCTGAATAGATCTCATTTCTTATCCCAGCTCTAACTTCTTCCCCAACCACAGCAATTTTCTCCCGCCTAACACGTCGAGACGAGAGCTTGCCCTTGGCTTTAAGTATTATCTCTTTGTTAGACAAATAAGTTCCTTGATTGACTATCTCTTTTATTCTTTCCTGTAAAAAAGAAAAAGAAATTATTCTATTTTATGATTTCAGAATGAAGTGTATATAAATGTAAGGCATTGAAAAAGTCTATGAAAGTTTACTTACGTAAATTGCTTTTGATGCCTCATCACACCATATCATCTCTCCTTCTTCATTCTTCTTCATATGTTGAGCACGCCACACTTCATCAACGGACTTCTTAATTCCAGTTTTTGGATCTATCTATGATTTCGATTTCATTATTCAACTTAAAGAGTGTTAACAAAACTAAAAATGTGATATGAGGTAACAAAAATAAAATAAATTTAGAATTTAAAACTAGAAGATCATTACCATATTAAATTCAAATTCATCATGAGATCTTGATCCACACACATTCTTCACTTTCACCTGTGATCTATTCTTCTTATTTCTCACACTCTTTTTCTGTATAGCTCACATTTTAGGATTAATAATAAATTCAAATAAACATATTCTAAAGGACTTGGAAAAAAATTTAATGATTAAAATGTTCACTTACTTTGAAAAGCTCTGAACAACCTTTGGAGTCTTGGTATCAAAGGAAAGTAACGGAAAATCTTAGCAGCAACTTGTTTCCCGGAAACATTATCATCTTCACCACAATTCCCATCATCCTTAGGGGGGAACTTGTATCTAGACTGGCCACATTTTCTGTAACTCTTCAGCTTACTATCATCATCACCATAATATAGCATACAATCTTTTGGACAAGCATCAATCCTCTTGTAGTTCAACCCTAAACCCTTAATCATTGTTTTCATTTTAACAAATGATTTGGGAATCTCAGCATCAGGAAAAGCCTCGGTCAGCAAAGAAAGTAGAGAATCGAAAGAGGAGTTACTCCATCCATTGAGGCACTTTAGAAGATATATTCGAATGGTGAATGAAAGCTTCAAAAACTTTTCACAGCCCGGATACAATTCTTTATCAGCGACTTCTAATAGGGAAAAAATCCAAAAGTACCACTGTTTAGAAAAAAATTTCCAAAAATACCACCCAACCCCAAAAAATTCCAAAAATACCACCCTTTTTCAAAAACCGCCACCCCACCCAGCGGTTTGGTCGAAAACCGCTTGTCGGGGGCGCGGTTTTGGACCAAACCGCGGGCCTAGGGGGCGGTTATAAAAAAAAAAAAAATTGGACCAAAACCGCTGGGTGGGGTGGCGGTTTGGCCCAAAACCGCCACCCCAACCAGCGGTTTGGTCCAAAAGTTCGGTCGAAACTTCAAACGAACGTAACTTTGCACTCGGGTATCCGATCGTAGCCATTTTTTTTTTGATTTCGCATAACTTTTCAAGATCTACAACTTTTACTAGGATGAAATTTTCAAAACAGGAACTATTTGTGGATATACGGGACCTTGAGAATAACTTTACCTTTACTTTTCAGAAATCCATGTACATTTTGAAATTATGATTATATTAAAAGTTGTAGATCTTGAAAAGTTATGCGGAATCAAAAAAAAGTTCATAACATTCGAAGTTTGGAGCACAAAGTTATGGCCGCCCAAAGTTTGACGAAAGGCGAGACCCGGCGGTTTGCGGCTTGCAAGATCTCAAAAAGTTTGCGGCCTCCATTTTTTGAATCCGAATCACTTTTTGAGATCTTGCAAGTCTCAAACAGTCGGGTTCCGTCTTCGTCTCGAAAAAACGTCATTTGCCACCCCGAACGGCATTTTTTTATTTCGTCAAACTTTGGGCGGCCACAACTTTGTGCTCCAAAATCCGAATGTCATGAATTTTTTTTTTATTCCGCATAACTTTTCAAGATCTACAACTTTTAATATAATCATAATTTCAAAATGCACATGGATTTCTGAAAAGTAAAGGTAAAGTTATTCTCAAGGTCCCGTATATCCACAAATAGTTCCTGTTTTGAAAATTTCATCCTAGTAAAAGTTGTAGATCTTGAAAAGTTATGCGAAATGAAAAAAAGAATCGCTACGATCGGATACCCGAGTGCAAAGTTACGTTCGTTTGAAGTTTCGACCGAATTTTTGGACCAAACCGCTGGTTGGGGTGGCGGTTTTGGGCCAAACCGCCACCCCACCCAACGGTTTTGGTCCAAATTTTTTTTTTTTTTATAACCGCCCCATAGGCCCGCGGTTTGGTCCAAAACCGCGCCCCCGACAAGCGGTTTTCGACCAAACCGCTGGGTGGAGTGGCGGTTTTTGAAAAAGGGTGGTATTTTTGGAATTTTTTGGGATTGAGTGGTATTTTTGGAATTTTTTTTTTAAACAGTGGTACTTTTGGATTTTTTCCTTCTAATAGAGTGAAAAAGTGTTTCGTCTGTCCATCAGGCTCTCCACCGACAGTAGCTGCAAGGTCACTTAATAGACCATACATATCATCATCTTCTACCATATCATCATTGTCACTATCTTCAACTTCCTTCTCTCCGTAGAAAGTCCAAATAGAGTATTTCTTCACAAATCCATGACAAATAAGGTGTTCATTGACGACATTTCTGGTTTGCCAAAACATATTCTTGCACTTCACACAGGGACACAAAATCTCATTCCCCTCAGCTGATTTAGCAAATGCAAAGTTCAGAAAACTCTCTACTCCATTACGATAGGCGGTACTCACTCGTGCCTTCGACAACCAACTCTTGTCCATTTTCAATAAATAAACTGCAAAATGAATGACCTGGATTAGTAAGTTTATACACTAAGGTCAGGACAAAATAAGTACAATGAGGAAAGCTGCAATTCCAACAGAAAATCAATATAAAATAACCAGCAAACAAGATCAAAATCAAAATTCATCACAATTAGTAAATTTCAGCAGAAAATCAACACAACTGATGTTTAATGAAAAGAGAAGCATTTCACAGCGAGGCATTGACACTAACAGCATATCACTTTTCTATCAATTGCTGCTGTGAAAATGTTCAAAGACTGGGATTGAAATGAAACCCAACCGAACATATATTAAGCCTTTAACCGTACAAATCACTTTCATAAGGAGAGTGTGGTTGAGTGAAGAACAACGACTGAACTCTGAGGTACATTTCGATCCTACAAGTTCAGCAGAATGAAGAACATAGCTGCCCCAAAAGGCAAACCTCAGAGGCCAAACTGAGATCCGCAAGGCCCTTTCACAAGCCTGCAGCTCGCTCTCGCTTCCTTATCCACGAAAACTCTGAATTTTTTCAGTTGGGGTATAAACTATAATAAATCACACCAAGGGTAAGAAAGCAGCATTATGCCCAAATTGAAAACCTCTGCAGAGCTGCCTCTCGGCTCTTCTTTTAGTTCGCTAAGAGCAGCAGTTTGTGGATCTTCACTCTCGTCAATGCCACCCTGCCACAAGTAGTTGTTATTGTTAAGAATAATGGGACATAAACCATGATGGAGGTACATGGAGTCTGTATGGATCTCAATTACCTAACTCCAAATTCAATCTCCTTTTTGATGCATATATAGTCTCAAAGTTGCAATTGCTCTGCTATGCTGCTGTAACCGCCTAAGTTTGAAACTTAATTTTTCTTTTTTTATTCATAACAAGTTTCATTTCAGTATATAACTACTAGACCGAGCATGATATATAATGTACTTAACCCGTAGGGGAAAACTCTAAATCATACCGTCCCCATAAACCCACAAATTAGCACAGTAAGCAGAGAGAGATAAAGAACTCCACCCAAACAAGGCATTCAGGAACACATAATAGTCAACAACACATAATAGTCAAGAACACAAGCGACAATGAAAGAACCACAACATATTTTGCAGCAAACAGCAGAAAGAACACTCGACTCAAACCCCAGGCTACCTTAATTTTTCCCCTCTAACTAAGGCAGCACTCTTTAGAACAAGCTCAAGAACAAGCTACAATAACCGAAACCATCTTCAGCTTTTAAGCCAGCGAAACATAATCTACCTTTACAAAGCAAGTAGAACCGCTACAGAAGATCGGGTGAAAGGAGAAAGGAGAACCCACCGCGGTCGACGGTCGAACAGGAATCTGAGGATGATTCTTGATGGTGGGTTGGGTAACGAAATTCGTACCGTTGTTCTTGGGGATATGACCTTCAGAGGAGGATTGATGGACTCTGATTCCTAGTTGCTGGCCGGACCTCTGCTGCTCGTCGATTTTGCAGCAGATAAACACAGGGGAAGCTTTTTTGTGAGGGCAGAAGCACAAATTTTTGCGATAGAGGAAGGAG